TTTGTTTATTTTTTAGGGTTAACACCAAACACCTTATTACTACATGAAAAAATATTTAAAATTTCAGAAATGAAATACGTAGGCAATAATGTTCTGTTACGATAGAAAAAGCTCATTTCATTTTAGACATTTTTAAACGAAAACTTTCAAATGTTTTATAAAAACCTAATTTTAAACTCGTAATAAAATGAAATGTTCGTGTGAGAACTAAATTGTTTTAGAACAAGTAAGAGTGCTATATTCGGCTGTGCCGAATCTTATATACCCTTCACCACAGTGTATTTAAAAAATGTCAATTCTATAAAATTTTAATTTATTTCATTTTCCGGTTTATATCATTATTATAGCAATAGCAAAAAGAACAACAACAACGCTAAACGAAATAAACACACAAAAAAACAAAATACACAAGGCCAGTGTTGCCACTTTGGTTATTATTAACCAAAAGTGGTTATTATACCCACCATCAAAAAATATGGGGGGTATATTGATTTTGTCATTCCGTGTGTAACACATCGAAATATTGTTCACAGACCCCATAAAGTATATATATTCTGGGACCTCGTAAGATTCTAAGACTATCTAGCTATGTCCGTCCGTCTGTCCGTCTGTCTGTTGTTGGCACGATAGCGTCCACAAAAAAAAGAGATATTGAGATGAAATTTTCCCAAAATATTTTTTATTGATCAGAAATGTTTGGTATTGAAAATGGGCAAAATCGGTCAACGATTTCACATAGCCCCCATACAAATGTACCCCCCGGAATATTGTATAAAGAGCTTCAAACATTCACAAATTCGTTGTTTATGAAGCAAATGGCACAAAATTTCGCATAAGTAAGTTTTTTGACCTCCGAAATAAAATTCTGAATTATGTCGGACATAGGACCACAATTGGCCCTAACCCCCATATAAGGCCCCCTTTTGAAAATTACTATAATTCTGATTACCGGCTTAAACATACGAATATAGCGATGAAATTTGACTCACATAGGTTTCATGCAAGCCAATATCTCTTCACCAAACTATATGTGGATCGGTCCATAATTGACCCTACCCCGCATATAAGGTCCCCTTCAGAAAATGACTTTAACGCTCATTATTGGCGTAAAAATACAAGTATAGCGATGAAATTTGACATAAGTAAGTTCTATACGAGTAAAAATCTCTACACAAAATTCTATGTGCATCGGTCCATAATTGACCCTACCCCCCATATAAGGTCCCCTCCATAAAATTACTTCAACGCTCATTATTGGCGTAAAAATACGAGTATAGCGATGAAATTTCACAGAAGTATGTTTTATATGAGCCAAAATCTCTCTACAAAATTGTATGTGGATCGGTCCATAATTGGCCCTACCCCCCAATAAAATGGTCCCCTTTTGAAAATGACTATAATGCTGATTACTGGCTTAAACATACGAATATAGAGATGAAATTTGCCACACGTAAGTTTCATGCAAGCCAATATCTCTCCACCAAACTATATGTGGATCGGTCCATAATTGACCCTACCCCCCATATAAGGTCCCCTCCATAAAATGACTTTAACACTCATTATTGGCGTAAAACTACGAGTATAGCGATGAAATTTGATATAAGTAAATTTTATATGAGTGAAATTCTCTCCAATAAATTTTATGTGGATCGGTCCATAATTGACCTTACCCCCCATATAAGGTCCCCTTCAGAAAATGACTTTTAGACCCATTACTGATTTAAAAAAAAAACGAGTATTCGACTCAAGTAAGTTCCTTGCAAGCCAAAATCACTTAACCAAATTTTTTGTGGATCGGGCCTTAACTGAACAACCCCCCCCCCCCCACATATAAGGTCCCCATCAGAAAAATAATTTAACGCTCATTACTGGCTTAAACGAGTAAAGCGATGAAATTCGATATAAACGTGACCTGTATGAACCAAGATTGTTCTACAAATTTTTACGAGGATCGAGGATAATTGGCCCTCCCCCATATAAGGCCCCTTCAGAAAATGACTTTAAAACTCAGTACTGGCTTAAAAATGCTAGTAGATCAATGAAATTCGACATAAACTAGTTTTGTTTGATCTAACATCTCTCTACAAAATGTTGTGGGGGTCGACCCATAATTGACCCTACCCATTTAAGGTACCCATCAGAAAAATACTTTAACGCTTATTACTGGCTTAAAAATGCGAGTACAGCGATGGAATTCGACACTGATAAGTCTCTACCAATTTTTATGATGATCAGTCCATAATTACCCCACCGAAAATGATTACAATGATCATTACTGGTTGGAAATTTTACATGAATATAATTCGTTCTACGAGATTTAAGGATGATCGGTTCATAATTAATCTTTTCCCCCATACAAGGTCCCCTTAAGGAAATTACTTTAACTGCCTGAAAATACGGATACTGCAATGCAATTCGAAATAAACTGAACTGAAATCTTCCTACCGACTTTTATGAGAATTCATCCATATATGTATAAATAACCCTACTCCCTATACAAATTAGTATTTTTAATTCGAAAGAGCACTGTCAATAGTTGAACCCCCATTAATAGACCTATTTCAAATATTACCGTGATGTTCACATTAGTATCGATATATAATAATAAAATATTCAAAATATCAAAGTTTATTTATATGGCAGTAATTTGATGGTGGGTATATAAGATTCGGCATAGCCGAATATAACACTCTTACTTGTTGGACTTCAACAAGTCCACATACACATGAAACTGGAGATCGTTTATAGTAAATCTTCGTTCTCAGTTTTTAATTTTCTGATCCTTTCTTTTTTTAAAGGACTCCAAAGTTTCAAGGATGTACAAATTTATAAAAAATTAAATAAATAAATTTGATTCTTTCATATTTTAGTATAATTCTAACAAATTCCCAATTAGTACCAGAAGGAACAATTATTATAAAAAAAAACTAAATTTATATAATAAAAAAGTATTTAAGCTATACTAAATAAAGATATAAAAGAAAGAAGAAATATAAAAATATATTATGGAGAAAAATGAATACGTTTACTCTGCCGCTTGTACGGGGAACAAATCTAGGTGCCTATCTAAGAAGTGTATTTTCATTGACATATTCACACCCATTTCACCGAAGTTGCGAACGAGATTGCGGACGATTTCTTCGTAGTTTTCAGATTTTCTATTACCTAAGAAATTTTTTATTCTCCCTCCAACTATTTTTCTTAATAGATGATAGAAGGTTTGGAAATTCCTTGCAATTTAACAATTTTTTTAGTTGGGGTCCATTAAAAACACCTTAAAGTATAAAAGATTACTTAGGGTAATGCAATAATATAAGTATTTAGCAATCGAACCTACCGGCGTCAATCTTTGCTTCGCTTAATTTGGGAAAAAAATTTTTCAAGTGCACCATAGCTGCACTGTCAACGTCGAGTGCACGAACAAAATTTCTTATAAGTCCCAATTTAATGTGTAGCGGTGGAAGTATTATTTTTGATGACGGCACGAGCGGAATATTCTCAATGCTATCCTGTCCAAGCTGATGAACAATACGAGGCTGCCATTTGTGGTCGGTGTAATAAGATCTTTGCGCCGACCTTCTCAAAGACACAAAAAACATTGGTGTTTGGCAAACCCTTTTTTTAAACCAATTAAAATGGCAACTATTTTCAGGTCAGAACAAATCATCGAACAATGTCGGTCATAATTTATTAATTTTAGAATAGCGCTTATATTTTCATAATTTTCTTTAACATCTGTACCATAAATAATTGGCACTGATGGATACACATTACCTACGTGAAGCAACACACCTTTGAGGCTCTTCGTTGATCCATCTATAAAGAGGCGCCATTCATTTGGGTCATAGGAATGGCCAATAGTTTCGAAAAGTTTTTCAACATCATCTGCGTAAGTGATGCCAGTTTGGTCATCCACTTTGAAACATGCGTCAAATGATTGCTCGTTTGAACGCTTTCAGACTGATGTTACCCGAAAATCTTCAGAAACCAATTTCCACTGTTCTAATCGGGAACCTAATACTTCAGCACTTCTTTGCGAAATATTTGTGTCACGCACGAGATCATCAAAATCCGCTTGGGTTATAAAATGCGGCGATGGATCGGCTAGCATATTTCCTATTGGTAAAAACTCCGAATAAAGTTCTGATCTAGAGCCGATACTCAGTAATTCTAAATCATCACATGGAATTGTGCGAACCTCTTCCGATGGAGACTTTGGATTTGATGTTGAACGTAGTACCGCGGGCTGCACTGAATCACATTTATGGTAAACGATTTTCTCCCTATCTTGATTCTTCAGCCTGATGGTATTCGGCTGATTTCGGCAAAAGTAACACAAATCGCGCGAATGCTCACTCCGCTTCAACCAAATTACTGGGTACACATATTTTATTGGGAACTGCTTAGATCGTAGTAGCCCCTTGTAACAATAATTACACAGAACTTCTGGTATATACCATGCCTTCGGAACCAAGTTTATTAAAAAATATTGTTCATACTTATTTTTCCTTTGTTACATTTTTTCCTTTATTAAAAGGTACAAATAAACCACAAACAACACAAAATTTGTTTTGATTAGTACATTCCATATTACTTTTTAAAAACGACCACTTATTAAAAATTATTTATAAGAATTTTGACCAAGGTTGGCAACCGTTATCGCTAAGCTATCGTTACCGCTAAAATACCTTTTCAGCACAACTACCGTTACCGCTAAAATACCGATACCGAAATAAGCCAAAATACCGATAACGCTAAAATATCAATACCGAAATAAGTTAAAATACCGATAACGCTAAAATACCAATACCGAAATATGCCAAAATACCGATAACGCTAAAATATCAATACCGATATTTTATTAAAATAAACTAAAATTTCCAAAAAGTACAAAACTCTTCACTTTATTAATATTGTTAACATCACTGGCGTTTTTTATTTCTTTCTCAAACATTGGCAACCTTATTTTTCGTTTTGTTTTCTTGTTCACTTTTCTTCTTTACCAAAATTGTCTTTATATTGAGACAATAATGGTCATGTAAAAAATGAATGCAAGACAGATGATCATTTCGTTTTCAAAATATGAGTTTTTTAGTATACAGTAAATGTCAAACTCCATACAAACACACTGACAGAAAAATATAAAACTGTTACCATATTAATTCGCTTAAGAATGAGAGCAAACAATATAAATAACTGTTTTTTGTGTCAAAAAAACATATATTTTTTATTTGCAATTTAAAATTTGAAAGAAACGAAACAGCAACATAAATAAATTAGAAATAAAAGAAACTTGTCAGATTTGCGTTCAAATAATTATAAAAAGTGTAAAATGCCTCGTCAAAAAAGTTTTTTATACAGAAAATTTTTTAGAGTTGAAGCCAACACCAATTACAACAAGTGCACAATAATAGAAAATGAACGTGTTTGTGGGAAAATCTTAAGGGTAATTATTTAAGACATTGGACAAAATTCTGTTCGGTATAAGAACACTTGAGGGGTGAGGAAACAAAGGTAGCAATCGCCACCATGGTATTTTTCAAATTGAATAAGCGAAAACAGTATTTTTAAAGATAGTTTTTAATTTATATTTCAGTTTTTCTGCATATTTAGCATAATGGAATTAGAAGAAGATCTAAACAAGTTTGAAACTAATTCACATAGAAGTTTGTTGGCAAATAGGATCCAAAGTTTTTAGGAAAGGTCTTAAATGAAATAGATATTGCTGCCTTAGTTTCTACAACCCTCACTGAATGTTTTGATATCGACACAGGTTAAATTTTAAACTATAATATAGATTATATATACATATATGTATATACATATTTATACTATAGACTAGACTACAGACTAGACTAGACTATAAACTAGACTATAGAGTAGACTATAGACTAGACTATAGACTAAACTATAGACTAGACTATAGACTAGACTATAGACTAGACTATAGACTATACTATAGACTAGACTATAGACTATACTATAGACTAGACTATAGACTAGACTATAGACTATAGACTAGACTATAGACTAGACTATATACTAGACTATAGACTATAGACTAGACTAAACTATAGACTAGACTATAGACTAGACTATAGACTAGACTATAGACTAGACTATAGACTAGACTATAGACTAGACTATAGACTAGACTATAGACTATACTATAGACTAGACTATAGACTAGACTATAGACTATAGACTAGACTATAGACTAGACTATAGACTAGACTATATACTAGACTATAGACTAGACTATCGACCAGACTATATCCTATATTATAGATTAGACTATATACTAGACTATCGACCAGAATATAGACTAGACTAGACTATAGACTATGTTATAGATTACACTATATACTAGACTATCGACCAGACAATAGACTGATATAGACTGGAATATAAAATAAGCCTTAGGCTAGACTATAACTAAAGTCTTGTCTATAGACTAGATGATAGACTAGACTAGGCTCTTAACTAGACTACAAACTAGAATATATTCTAGGGGAATAGAGTATATGCCTTTATTCTAGGCTATAGTCTAATCTATAATCTGGCCTATTTTATAGTCCAGTCTATACATCGTTAGTCTTTATCTGTTTATTACGAGTGTCGACAATTAAATTTCTAGTAAAGAATTTTAATTAACCTTTGTATAAAATTATCGTTTATTTATTGTATTATATTTTTTATAGAGTGACCACGGATCGAACTTAGCGAGTCATATAAAATCCGTCCACAAAAGTACTTGGGCCAAAATAGAAAAAAATTCTATAACAGAACCAGAGAATCAACCCTCAACTTCGAACAGATCTGTTGCAAACATGCTCCAGACTAAAATAGCCATTAATATTAACAAAGAAGTTTTACTTAAATCCTGTGTAGAGCTCTGTTCTGTGAATGGAAGACCATTTTCTATTGTGGAGGACTCAGGATTTCGTAGCATTGTAGACCCAATTATACAAAAATTAGATATGACTTTGAATCGTCGGGTCGTTAAAGATCAAGTACTTCGGAAATTCGATGGTATTGTAAATACAATTTCTAATGAGATTAGTGGCAAATTACTATCTCTTAAAATTGATGGCCTCACACATTTGAATAGAGCATTTCTCGGTTAGTATTTCTAAATTATATATACTAAGACTCTGATTTGCGTCGTTTTTAACTTTTTTCGATTCTATTTTGACTGTTAAAATTTCGATTTGCACTGTAATAATTTTATTATCGTCGTAGCACGAAATTTACTTTTGTTTTGAAATAAACATTTATTTATTAATTTTTGTTATTTTGAGCACAATTTAGTCCAAATTTATTAAATATGTTCGAATTGCGTTCCTATCTATGACATATATCGGGGTCTTAGAAAACATTTTAAAACTCATGTACACAAAGCTGAATTGTTTGTTATGTTAAGGTATCAATGTGCAGTATATTAAGAATAAAAAAATTGTTCTTCGGACTTTAGCTGTGGCAGAATTATTCGAACGCCACACAGCTGAATATCTCAAAGACGTTATTTTAACCACCCTCAAGAAATACAAGATATCAGCAGACCAAATTTATACATGCACCACCGACAACGGTCGGAATATGCTTAAATGTGTTTCGCTAATAAACGAAAATGTAACCGAATTAGAAGACGAGGTGATAAATGAAGAATTTGATGACACTTTGAATGATTTTAAATTAAATACAAGATGTATAGGTAAGTTTTTTTGTTCATGAAATCTATTGTTGAAGCTATGAATTATTTTTTATCTACAAAACATTTTTTATTTGAAAATAAAACTTTAACCACTCTACTTTCAATCGAACCCGAACTTCGGCAAATTTAAAAGTTCGGCCAAACTATTTTCGGTTTTTGAAGTTCAGTGAACCCGAACTTTATGTTATTTAATGAAAAATATGCATTTATGATTAAAAAGTAACAAATATGTAACATTCAAAAACAAGTTGCCATCAAAATATTAACATAGGAGAGATTTTTTGAAATCGGTCTTTAATTGGGTTTGAATAAATTAGGGATTGAAATTTTCAGAACGTTCAAATGTGGACCGATTTTCACAATTTTCAATACCAATAAAATATTTAAACATAAATTTTCTTTAATTTTTTGTAAAATAAAATTCCCTTTTTTTTAAACATCGTTTTATAATAAAAAAAAACTAGGATTAAATGCTTAATTTTAAAGTTAAAACTCAAATTAAATATAGCTAATTTTTATTAAAGATTGGGCTTTCATAAAATAATTATTTTGTTTCAGTATAAGAAAACAAATTTTGTATGAAAATTTTGTTTTATAAACCTTTTATAAAATAAAAGTTTGATTATGAATTGGGGGTTATAATCGAAACTACATACATAATTCTATATTTTTTTTAGTTAAATGAAATTTTTAGTATCTTAAAAGATATTGAAGTATTTAAAATGTTTGACTTTTCTTAGCTTTTAATAGTATCTTAGCTAAAAATGTTATTTATGTTTTGGAATACTCGTTAACAGTTTTTCAAAATAGCAGAAAATTTAAACAAGTTAAAAGGGCACTATTTTTACCAACACCATTTTAAATTTTAGAATTTACATTTCAGAAATGTGTATATACATACATATCGTCACCTAAAACGCAAACGGCCCTATTTAACATTTTTAAAATTTTACAGGAGAAGCAAAAAACTATTTAAATTGGAAAGTTTGTTTCTATCAGCGCGATTTATTTTTATAAAATAAACAAATTGTTTAATAGTTAAACCTATTATTTGTTATGATAATTGACATTGGCGTACATAAAAATGGATAAATTGGACTTTTTACCTTTAATATTTAAATGTTTTTGTAGATAGGGCCTTTTGCTAATTTTGGCCGGAGGAGTCTAATTTCTTTTGTGGACATTTGTTTTGATGCAGTACATTAGAATCTGCAATAAAATCGATTTTGGATTTTTGGTTAGTTAGGGCCGTTTGCGTTTCAAGTGACGATATATACTGTCTTATTCATAACAATTCATCAATGGTTTATGGAGCAAATTATGTTTTGAAAATTTGTCTTTTTTTAATTTATACTTATGTAAACTCTACAATTTGAATATCATTGAGATATTTTCGCTCGTTTTAGGAGTTCGATGTGCTGCACATACTCTGCAATTAGCTGTTAATTGCGTTTTAAAAGAAAAACTAATGGAGAAGGTAACGTCGACCGTAAGAACCGTGGTTAAAAAACTTAGAACTCCTAATGTTGGCATTCTGTTGAAAAATGAGGGATTAAACAAACCGACAATTGATTGCGTAACACGTTGGTCTTCTACTTATGAAATGCTGGAATCAATTAACGGAAATAAAATAAAACAATTTTGCCAGGAAATGTCTCAAAAAAGTGATGACTTTTTTATTTCACAAGAAATGTGGAAGAGCATCTCAGATGCCGTTGATACGTTGCGACCCGCCAATATTGCCACTAAAACGTTGCAAATGGAGCAACTTACATTTGGCGATGCGTATGCCGCTTGGTGCAATTGCAAATTGCAATTGCAAAAAATTAAAACAAATTTTTCCAATAATTTAATAGAACATATGAAAAATAAGGAAAATATTTTATTTGAAAATGACGCGTTCATTGGTGCAATATTTATGGATCCACGCTGGAACGTGGTACTTAAAAACTCTTTAAAGGAACGTGCCATAGAACACGTTATTTCTGTAATAGATAAAATGAATAGTCTTACTCAGACCGATTGCATACTTGTAACCGATGGTGAAATGAATAATAGTTCATCGTCTATAGACAGTTTGGAAGCAATATTACAAAATATAGAAAAGGAAAATTATGGCAAAAATGCATCAATAAGAGAATTATTAAACGAATTTTCAAAAGAAAAAAGACTCTGTCTTCATGACAACGTTATTCAATGGTGGGAAGACAGAAGAGAAATAAAATCACAGCTGTACAATATTGCAATGGTTCTACTTGCCGTTCCAGCAACGCAAGTCAGTGTGGAACGTCTTTTTTCTGGTGTTAAATTTTTAATGAATCCAAGCCGAAATCGTCTGGATGAAGATAGTTTAAATGCAATAGTGGTGATACGCTCCAACAAGGACTTATTTTAACATGATAACTTTATATGTATTTCTTTATTTTAAATTAACACAAATATTTTACAGCATTCATAGCTCTATTAAACAACTTTATATTTAGACATTCCAATTTAAATTATATTTCTGAAATCCAATTGCATTTTTTTATAAATAAATTAGAATATGTATATGTATTTATAAATAAATACAAATTCGATAATTTGGTATTTGTTTTTGAAAATAATATTTTTGTTCTTTACTTTTCTAGGAAAAAATTCAATAAAATCGAAACTGAAAATGCCTTTAAAAAATACTTCTTCTTTCTCAATCTGTAGAGAAACTTAAAATCGGTTGAGAATCAACTAAGTTTCTGACTTATATGTGCTTAAAGGTACGAAACCCCGGTTTTATACGTATCTTAAGATTTTGCATGTGTTTGGCAAATTAAAAAAAAACAGATTCGTGTTCTACTCGGATCCACCTTTCAGAAAAATAGTATAGATATTTGTTTTGGTCGCATATTGTAATAATTGTTAAAAACGAAATCCATACAATTTTGAATTTAATTTATTTATTTCTGAACATTATTTTTTACTTTTAATTTATTAATTAATGAATTAAGGTTGTTATTTAATGTTTCTATATAAAAATTTAATTCCTCGTAAAACTGTTAAAATTATGAGCGCATTAGTAAATGCAGTTGCAAGAGTATTTTGTAATGCTACGAAATGTTGTGTAAATTTGCTCGACACTGTTTTTAAGTTAAACTTAAAAAAAATACGTAAAACAATAATACCAATGTTATTTTTGTTGTATTTAAAAGTTTGCTTATGCAGTGGATTTATGAACATATTTTTAATTATTTAAATCATATCGAAATTGCCGTCAAAATATCTTTTATGTACACTACCGATAACGCTAAAATATCAATACCGAAATAAGGCAAAATACCGATAACGCTAAAATACCAATACCGAAATAAGTCAAAATACCGATAACGCTAAAATAGCAATACCGAAATAAGCCACAATACCGATAACGCTAAAATACCAATACCGAAATAAGTCAAAATACCGATACCGCTACCTCATCACCGTTTCGAAACGGTAGCCAACCTTGATTTTGACGTGTAAATTCAAAACTACTAGATGCTTGATGTTACATAAGATATTTAACTTTTTATATACAATGTATCCTGATAAATAAAAACGAATTAACTTTTAATAGACTCAACCCTTTTTTAAAATTAGTAGGAAAATTATCTGCGACATGAAAGAAAAAATGTTTAAAGGATTTTCCTTGAAATTTGTTGTCCTGAAAAATTAAAAAAATATTGTTTCCATTTCTGGTGACCGTCTTCTTTTATTTCACAAACATTAACTAATAAAAATATGTATATAAATATTAATAGAAATTTTTACATCTTTAAAATTTTGATTTAGTTTAAAAGGAGAAAAGATCAGAAAATTAAAAACTGAGAACGCAGATTTACTATATACGATCTCCAGTTTCATGTGTATGTGGACTTGTTCAAGTCCAAAAAGTACTATCTAATATTTTTGTAATCTTAATTGCTGTATCGAAAAAAGTATTTGTTTTTTTAATGAACTTAATAATATGTTTTTATACCCTCCACCACCATCAGTGGTGATAGAGGGTATATATAACTTTGTCATTCCGTGTGTAACACCAAGAAATATTCATCTGAGACCCAACAAAGTATATATATTCTGGGTCCTTATGAAATTCTGAGTCGACTTAGCTATGTCCGTCCGTCCGTCCGTCTGTCTGTCTGTGTAAAACACGCTCACGTTAAAACGAAGCAATATAATTTAACCAAATTCACCCAAAATATTCACTATTATCCGGTACAGTTTGGTATTGAAAATGAGCAAAATCGGTTCACATCGGAAAAAGTTATGAATCAAAATTTAAAACAACTCCGAAAAAAATAAGCATTTTTTACACATTCTGATGTAATTTTCTCGAAAACTATGCAAGATAATTTCATGAAAGTCATCATACGTTCGTTTCTACACAAGATATTGATTCCTGCTGAAAATTGCCAGAATCGGTCCATAATTTCATATACCTCCCATACAAAAGTACATATTCCCGGAAAATGACTTTTTTGTTAATAACTTCCGTTAGAATGTTGATATCTTCACAAAATTTTACAAATTAAAATCTTATGTCAATAGAATTCATTGGGAGGAAACATTTTTTGGATCGGTCCATAATTGGACATAGCTCCCATACAAGGTCCCCTCCCGAAAATCACTTAAACGCGCATAACTCATTACTAAATTAAGATATCCATATAAAATTTGGAATAAGTATTGCTCATATGCACAAAAATATTACTGTGAAAGTTTTTCCGATCGGTCCATAATTGGTCATAGCTCCCATACAGGGTCCCCTCCCGAAAATCACTTAAACGCACATAACTCATTACTAAATCAAGATATCCATATAAAATTTGGTACAATTATTGCCCTCGCATACAGAAATATTACTATGAAATTTTTTTCCGATCGGTCCATAATTGGTCATAGCTCCCATACAAGGACCCTTGCCGAAAATCACTTAAACGCGCATAACTCATTACTAAATCAAGATATCCATATAAAATTTGGTACAAGTATTGCTCATATGCACAGAAATATTACTATGAAATTTTTTTCCGATCGGTCCATAATTGGTCATAGCTCCCATACAAGGTCCCCTCCCGAAAATCACTTAAACACACATAACTTATTACTAAATCAAGATATTCATATAAAATTTGGTATAATTATTGCTTACATATACAGAAATATTACTATGAAATTTTTTTCCGATCGGTTCATAATTGGTCATAGCTCCCATACAAGGTCCCCTCCCGAAAATCACTTAAACACACATAACTCATTACTAAATTAAAATATCCATATAAAGTTTGGTACAAGTATAGCTCTCACATATAGAAATATTACTATGAATTTTTTTCCGATCGGACCATAATTGGTCGCAGCTCCCATACATGGTCACCTCCCGAAAATCACTTAAATGCACAATATTCATTACCAAATAATGATATAGATACAGAATTTTGAAATTTTGTCTTTATATACATAATTGGTCCTAGCTCCCATACAAGGACCTTTTACGAAAATCTCTTAAACGCACATTACTCATTACCAAATAAAGCTATTGATACAAAATTTGGCACAAATATTAGTTTGGTATACAAAAATTCTATTTCAAGATTTTTTCATGATCGGTCTATAACATGGGTGCGGTCGGTCCCATGCAAGTGTCCCTTCAGAAAATCACTTGAACACACATTACTTATTACTAAATTACGATATAGATACAAAATTTGACTGAAATATAGTTTTTATGTACAGAAATTTAGCTTAAAGAATATTTTACGATCGGTCTATAATTGGTCATATCTCCCATACTAGGTCCTGCCCCTAAAAACAATTTATATAGAACAAAATTATATATATGTATTTTGAAAATCCTTAAATCTTTCACACACATGCATACATGCACATTATTAAATATCGTTAAAGCATATCTAAGGGCGCTATACAAATATAAAAGAAAATGGGGTTTGTAATGTTCAACAAATCTTGGAATAGTAACAGATTTAAGCTGTTTAAATCTTGGTGTTTTTCTATTTAAGACATGAGAAAACTTATTTCTACAAATATTTGATCAATTAAAAAACTATTAATATAAAAGTAGCTGGTGGAGGGTATTTAAGATTCGGCTCAGCCGAATATAGCACTCTAACTTGTTTTCTGTTTAGGCTTTACTTATAAAGATATAAGAACGAAATTTAAGCATGTGTTAAAGTATATGCATGGTTTCAACATATATTTTTTTTTAAAAAATATATTGGAAATTCTCAAGGATATAAAAGGACACATTTTTTACAACTTTTCGTCCTGAAAAGTAATAATAATAAATTGTATCTATTTCTGGAAAATGTTCTCTATCATTTTATATTCATATAAAGAAAAATTAATGAGCGGAACTATTTAAATAATTTTTTTGAAATTTGTATATCCTTAAAACATTTAAGTCCTTTAAAAGGGAGAAAAGATCACAAAATGAAAAACTGAAAACGCAGTTCTACTATATATGATCTCAGGTTTCATATGTGTATAGTGTCGTTCAAGTCCAACAAAAAAATGTAAAATTGCACCACGGTGTTATAAGTATTGTATTTGGAATCAACCATCATATTATTTCATAGATTCATAAGACTTTAAGCAGACGACAACGCAACAAATTTTAAAGTTTAATTTAAAAAAAGTTAAGAAAATTGTGCTAATTGAATTGATTAAATGATATGTCAGATTAGATTTAATTAGTAAAATTGTAAAAAAGTTAGGTTATTAACAATTTTAGGAAGAATATTAATAATAAAATTTAGTAATGAGATAGTGTCCCTATTCAATATTATTTTCATTTTCATTACGATTACTTTGTGAACGAAATAGACTACAGATGTGATCAATACTATCAATCCGACTCGGTTCATCATCCTCATATTATTTGATAGATTCATAAGACTTTAAGCAGACGACAACGCAACAAATTTTAAAGTTTAATTTAAAAAAGTTAAGAAAATTGTGCTTATTGAATTGATTAAATGATATGTCAGATTATTTAATTAGTAATATTGTAAAAAAGTTTGGTTATTAACAATTTTAAGAAGAATATTCATAATAAAATTTGGTAATGAGATAGTATCCCTATTCAATATTATTTTCATTTTCATTACGATTACTTTGTGAACGAAATAGACTACAGATGTCATCAATACTATCAATCCGACTCGGTTCATCATCTCGATTGATTTTAGAATACACGATCCAGCGCTTTGAATAAACTGATGAGAGTTTTTTATCCCTCCATAGTTTTATGTCCTCTATATATATTTTATTGGGAGTCAAGTTTTCCTTTATATTGAAAGGTGTATCAGATTCAAATCCAATATCATTCAAGATTAAGGGACCCTTCCGCATTTGCATTAGGATTGACACGGATTTCATCATAAATTTTCTCTCATATGGCGTTGCA